AGCTAAACCCTTCTAAAGTTTTCTTTTCTTGAGTAAGCAACAGCTAAACCCGTCTATAGTTATCATTGCCTGAGTGAACAACAGCTTAATCCGTCTATAGTTATCATTGTCGGAGTGAGCAACAGCTTAATCCGTCTATAGTTATCATTGCCTGAGTGAGCAACATCTAAACCTGTCTATAGTCATCATTACCTGAGTGAGTAACAGCTTGGTCCGTCTATAGTCATCATTGCTTGAGTGAACAACAACTAAACCCGTCTATAGTCATCGCTGTCAGAGTGAGCAGCACTTTAACCCGTCTCTAGACCATTGTCTGACTGAGTACTAGTAACAGCTAAACCCATCTATAGTCCTTGTTGCCTGAGTGCAACAGCTAAACCCATCTGTAGTCATCATTGCCGGATTGAGCAACAGCATTGTTGCTGGAGTGAGCTACAGCTAAACCAGTCTACAGTCACCATTGTGCAAGTGAGCAAAAGCAAAACCTGTATATAATCATTATTGCCTGAGTAATAGCTAAACCAGTATATAGTCATCTTTGATTTGCTTGAGTGAGTTACAGCTAAACCCATCTATAACTATCATTGACAGAGTGAGTAACAACTCAACCCATCTATAGCCATCATTGACCTAGTAAGTCCCTTAATGAGTAACAGCTAAACCAGTCTATAATCACCATTGTGCAAGTGAGCAAAAGTTAAACCTGTATATAATCACCATTGCTTGAGTGCACAACAGCTAAACCTGTCTTTAATCATCATTGCCTGAGTGAGCAACAACTAAACCCGTCTATAGTCATCGCTGTTAGAGTGAGCAGCACTTTAACCCGTCTATAGACCATTGTCTGACTGAGTACTAGTAACAGCTAAACCCATCTATAGTCCTTGTTGCCTGAGTGCAACAGCTAAATCCATCTGAATCATCTTCGCACAGTTAGTAACAGCTAAACCCAACTATAGGTGCCATTGCCTGAGAGAGCAAAATATAAACCCGTATTTAGTCATCTTTGTCAGAGTGAGCTACAACTAAACCCGTCTATAGTCATCATTGTTTGAGTGAGTCACAGCTTAACCCTTTGATGGTCATCATTGCTGGATCGAGTTACAGCTGAACCCGTCCATATCTATCATTGACTTAGTAAGTAGCTTAACCCGTCTATAGCCATCATTGACTTAGTGAGTCCTTGTATGAGTGAGAAACATCTTAAACAGTCTATAGTCACCATTGTCTGAGTGAGTAACAGCTAAACCTGTATATAATCACCATTGCATGAGTAAACAGCAATTAAATCCATCTATAGTCATCATTGCCTAAGTGAGCAACAGCTAAACCCGTCTATGGTTGTCATTGCCTGAGTGAGTAACAGCTAAACCCGTATATAGTAATTATTACCCGAGTGAGTGACAGCTTAACCCGTCTATAGTCACCATTGCCTGAGTGAGTAACAGCTAAACCGTCTATAGTCACAATTGCCTGAGTGAGTAACAGCTAAACCCGTATATAGTTATTATTACCTGAGTGAGCAACAGCATAACCCGTCTATAGTCACTATTGCTGGAGTGAGTTTCAGCTGAACCCGTCCATAATTATCATTGTTAAAATGAGTCACAACTTAACCTGTGTATAGCCATCATTGACTAAGTGAGTCCCTACATGAGTGCGTAACATCTAAACCAGTCTATAGTCACAATTCTCTGAGTGAGTAACTGCTTAACCTGTATATAATCACCATTGCCTGAGTGAACAACAGCTTAACCCATCTATAGTCATCATTGCCTGAGTGAGCAACAAACAGCTAAACCCATCTTTAGTCATCATTGCCTGAGTGAGCAACAGCTAAACCCATATATAGGCATCATTGCCGGAGTGATCAACAGCTAAACCCATCTATAGTCATCATTGCCTGAGTGAGCAACAGCTAAACCCATCTATAGTCATCATTGCCGGAGTGAGCAACAGCTTAACCCATCTATAGTCATCATTGCCTGAGTGAGCAACAGCTTAACCCATATATAGTCATCATTGCCGGATAGAGCAACAGCTTAACCCATCTATAGTCATTGTTGCTGGAGTGAGCTACAACTAAACCAGTCTACAGTTACCATTGTGAAAGTGAGCAAAAGCTAAACCTGTATATAATCATCATTGCCTGAGTAATAGCTAAACCAGTATATAGTCATCTTTGCCTGAGTGAGTTACAGCTAAACCCATCTATAACTATCATTGACTGAGTGAGTAACAACTCAACCCATCTATAGCCATCATTGACCTAGTAAATCCCTTAATGAGTAACAGCTAAACCAGTATATAATCACCATTGCCTGAGTGAACATTATTACCTGAGTGAGCAACAGCATAACCCGTCTATAGTCATTCTATTGCTGGAGTGAGTTTCAGCTGAACCCGTCCATAATTATCATTGTTAAAATGAGTCACAACTCAACCTGTCTATAGCCATCATTGACTAGTGAGTCCCTGCATGAGTGAGTTACATCTAAACCAGTCTATAGCCATCATTGACCTAGTCAGTCCCTTAATGAGTAACAGCTAAACCAGTCTATAATCACCATTGCCTGAGGGAATAACAGCTCAACCTGTATATAATCACCGTTGCCTGAGTGCACAACAGCTAAACCTGTCTTTAATCATCATTGCCCGAGTGAGCAAAAAATAAACCCGTATTTAGTCATCTTTGTCAGAGTGAGCAACAACTAAAACCGTCTATAGTCATCATTGTTTGAGTGAGTCACAGCTAAACCCTTTGATGGTCATCATTGCTGGATCGAGTTACAGCTGAACCCGTCCATATCTATCATTGACTAAGTAAGTAGCTTAACCCGTCTATAGCCATCATTGACTTAGTGAGTCCTTGTATGAGTGAGAAACATCTAAAACAGTCTATAGTCACCATTGTCTGAGTGAGTAACAGCTAAACCTGTATATAATCACCATTGCATGAGTAAACAGCAATTAAATCCATCTATAGTCATCATTGCCTAAGTGAGCAACAGCTAAACCCGTCTATGGTTGTCATTGCCTGAGTGAGTAACAGCTAAACCCGTATATAGTAATTATTACCCGAGTGAGTGACAGCTAAACCCGTCTATAGTCACTATTGCCTGAGTGAGTAACAGCTAAACCGTCTATAGTCACAATTGCCTGAGTGAGTAACAGCTAAACCCGTATATAGTAATTATTACCTGAGTGAGCAACAGCATAACCCGTCTATAGTCACTCTATTGCTGGAGTGAGTTTCAGCTAAACCCGTCCATAATTATCATAGTTAAAATGAGTCACAACTTAACCTGTCTATATCCATCATTGACTGAGTCCCTGCATGAGTGAGTAACATCTAAACCAGTCTATAGCCATCATTGACCTAGTCAGTCCCTTAATGAGTAACAGCTAAACCAGTCTATAATCACCATTGCCTGAGGGAATAACAGCTCAACCTGTATTTAATCACCATTGCCTGAGTGAACAACAGCTAAACCTGTCTTTAATCATCATTGCCTGAGTGAGCAACAGCTAAACCCGTCTATTGTTGTCATTGTCCGAGTGAGTAACAGCTTAACCTGTCTAGTCATCATTGCCCCTCATTTATATTTGCTATGCATGTTTTTTAGAATTTGTACAGGCGATTTTTAAGGCACATGCTGCCTCACCTGCTCTGTTATGGTTCATGGATTAAAATATTTTACACAGTTTTACAGATAAATATTTTTTGTGGTTCTTAGTTAACATTTATTTCATTTTGTCTGGTCTTGTGATTGTCTCCATTGTGTAAATGCTTATGAATTTTTATGTTTTCATTTTCTTTATAACATATGCAATTCAGATTTGTTTTATCTCTACTTTCTTGACAAAACTTTCCTTTTATTTGACTTCAATTTGTTCACCTGTTCTAAGGATGATTCAAAATTACAACTAATAAAAGATTCATGTCTCCCATTACTCAATCAAAAACATATACATATAACATAACATTTTACTACTACCAAATATAGAATTTTAGGGAATTTGGGGTCAAGTGAAAGTTACTGGGAGTATGAGATACTTGATTGATTGATTGATTGATTGGGGATTAACACCTCTTTCAGCCTTATTGGCAATTTCATGGCAGCCAGTTTTCAATGGTGGAGGAAGATGGAGTGCCAGGAGAGACCTTCGGTAGGAAAACGTACAATCCTAGTCAATTTAGATTGGAGTCGAAAGCACCTGCAAAGTGCAGACTCAAACTCACAACCTCACTGTTGACAGGCTAGTGATACAGTAGTTAAACTGTTTAGATCACTTAGCAACTGAGGTCCCATGAGATACTTAAGATTAACATTGGATTCAAATGCAATGGGTATGATGAGGTCAATTTTCAGCTCCTAAAAGTAAGGAGATTAGTTATTCACTGCAATTTGTTGTTTTAATTACAGATTTCCCTTTATGTCTGAACCAAATTTGACATTATCAAAGATTGAAAACATATAATTCGAAATAAAATTAAGAGGACTTCACAAAAAATCCTCATATAAGAATTATAAGAGTATTAGTAGATTTTTGCAGCTCATCACTAATCAGTGTTTATTTATTAGAAAACAAAGACCGATGTGAAATCAGCTAGTTCAACCCCTCCACATTCTGTATGTGCCTGTCCCAAGTCAGGAACCGGTAAATCAGTGATTCTTGTTTGTTGCTGAATATCATATTTGTTTTTCGTTTATTTTTTTTGTATATAAATCAGGCTGTTATTTTTTTCATTTGAATTGTTTGACATTTGTTATTTCAGGGCCATTAATAGCTTTCTATGTGGTATGGGTTTTGATCATTCTTGAAGACCGTACAGTGACCTATAGTTCCTTACTTCTACATCATTTGGTCTCTGGTGGAGAGTTGTCTCATTGTCAATCATACATTTTTCTTATTATATAGATAATAAGCTTTTGATGCATCAACTTCTCTCAAGAGAAGAAATACCTTTCTGACCTATCATTATTTAATAAGGCAAATTCTTTTTGATATTTTATTTTTTCTTCTCTCCATGTGTCAATATTCCTGAAAATGTTGGTTTTAATGCATCCGATAGTCCACTTTCTTCATTTCTTTGTTTGGCAAATGTAGTTAAGCTCTGAAAAAATATATTGAAAGGAGTTTCAATCTTAGGTTCTTAGGATGTGTACTTATATAATGACTACAGATGTCTCAATTCATGTTTGGTAGTCCAATATTTGGACCATGCTTAGAATCATTTTAACAGCCCCTTTGCATATTCATCAATGTTCAACGTGCATTCAACTCTACAAAGTAGTTTCATTTACCCCAAAATATGATTTCAGAGAATATTAAAGAACCTTTGTGAGCACGCTCACATACCCCACACCCCCACATTGTCACTGGGCAATAAAAAATCTCACCAGATTCCTAAGTTTAAAGACTCAAACCTCCTACAGAAGTCAACTGATAAAAATTTCTTGTGGATATGCACATCTACATATTATGTCTTTATTATCTACAAAGTTTCATGAAATTCTGTTGTGTGGAGACAGAGGAGTTGCGATGACTAACTCTTACAGTCGTATATTTAGGCAAAAATTCTAAGTTCAAAGGAGCACAACTACTAGAATAAAAATTGAATCGTAATTTCCAGTCGATATACATATCTTCAAAATATGTCCTAGCTATCTACAAAGTTTCATGAAATTCTGTTGTGTGGTGACAGAGGAGTTGTGATGACAAACTGTTGCAGTAGTATATTAAGGCCAAAATTCTAAGATCAAAGGGCATAACTCCTAGAATAAAAATTGAATAGTAATTTCCTGTCGATATGCACATCTACATAGTATTTCCTTATTATCTACAAAGTTTCATGAAATTCTGTTGTGTGGTTTCAGAGGAGTTGAGACGACAAAAATAGGAATGACAGATGGATGGACAGACAGACAGACTGGCAGACAGCTCAAAAACATTATACCCTATAGAACATTGTTCCGTGGGGTATAATTACAGAGAGGATTTTGTTTGCCATGAAAAGGAGAAGTATGATAAGAGCTATTACTTGGAACCTGAAATTGAAAACAGTTATATTCTTCAATCCTTTTAAAATCATGTTAATTCTGCTTATGAATGAATAGTGATATAATCAGGGCACTTCAGTTCAGAAAAACAAGTTATGATATCACTATGTTGTTATAAACATGTTGAAATTGACGTATTTTACAAGACCATTTTACACATATATTTTGGTAAAATTAGTGATGATCCATAGCCTTAACCAAAAAAGATCATTTTACACACATTAACATCTTTGTATCAGACATCTTGTAGCAAAATATATTTTAGGGTAAACCCTTGGCCCATATCTAAATATATTTGTAATTTACAGAAATATCAGTGATATCTGATCCTCATGTTGAGCATGACAAAGGTTATCTCCATTTCATATCAAGTGTTTAACAAGTTTCATAAAGTTTATGATTTAAGTTTTCACATCAAAGTCATAAAGAATTGTGCCTGATATTCATTTTTTTTCAAACTTATAACAGAAAGTCTACCATTGGTATTGGATGGTAAGAATATTTTCTTGAAATTGCACTTGTGGCATACTAACAACCTTATTCTAGCTATGATCTGAAATTTTAACAGTGAACAGTTTGAAAAGATAAATTTGAACTGTAGCTTGCTATTCAATTTGGCTCATTGGAAAATTTACAGAGCAACCATTTAAAAAAACTTACCTGAAATGATCTTGGTTCATATATACTTAAATCTGTCAGTACTTTTCTGTTTAATGGGATATTGGCCTGAAATGAACATTTCAAAATAACTGATATTTGGAACACATTTTGGGTTACATATATATACAACAGAATATATGAAAATGAGGTCAAGGACAGATGATACTTGCAAGTCAGACATATACACCTTAAAATCATTCCATACACCAAATATTGTTGACCTATTGCTTAGAGTATCTGAGATACAGACTTAACCACAAAAACTTAACCTTGATCACTGATCCCTGAAATGAGGTCGAGGTCAAGTGAACCATGTCTGATGGACATGCAGACCTTGCAAGGATCCCATATACTAAATATAGTTATCCTATTACTCATAATAATTGAGAATTTTACATGACAAAAAAACTATAATTTTTTTTTTTAAACAGTCAAGGACAATGGACATATGACAGAGGGAAACTTCATAACATAAGGCATGTGCATACAAATCTTCTACCTTCTGAAATACAGAGCTTCAAACAAAAATTTACGTCGTTGCCATGAGATAGTAAGCCTTATGTGTTGCATTAAGTGACAAAAGTCAAGGAGAGAAGAAAACCAGTCAATTATTTGAACAAATGATTTTAATTAAAACGACAAAGTGTGCCGTCGCCCAGGTTTTCCTCTGAGTTCAGTATTTTTGTGATTTAACTTTTTATTATACTCCTTTTTCAGCATTTTTACATTTTATACATTTTTTTTTAAATGAATTAAGGCTTTTTTTTAAATGCTTAACCCAAGTTCATAAGATTTTTCCTACCAAAACCAGTATTTTTTTCTGAACACTAACATTTCAGGTTTCAGATTATGCAATAACAAAGTAGTGTTCTCTGTATCAAGGTTAGTGTTTTCAGGTGGTAGAAATAGAACGGTCAGCTGGAAAAATAATATAAAAGTAGAAAATGACCTAACTACTCAAACAAGTGATTTTTACATAAAGATAACACTAAATGTTTTACATGTGTAATGATATTATCAGATTATTACATGGCATTTTTCATATCAGATTTATTATCAGTCCAAGAGCCAAAGGCTTAAGGGCTGATAATACATCTGATATGAAAAATGACATGTTATGATCTTTTTATCATATGCTTCAACAATGGAGAAAAATAACAGTTAAATATATTGATTCTTTTAAGTTGGTTCTCAAGTAGAAGTTCAAAAAGTGAAAAGTTTACGGACGACGGACGCCAAATGTAATACATCAGATATGAAATCTTTCTATCATATGCCTCAACAGGGGAGAAAAACAACACTATAATATATTTTTATATGGACGATAAAAAAAAATAAATAGGGAATGTGTCCATGGGACACAGATGATGCCCCCGCTTGCATATAACATTATAAAGTGACGCTACTCAAATTTGTACTTGATCTGAGTTTTGTGGAAATAAGCATTGTTTATAAGTTTCATAACATTTCTTTGGGGCAAACTAAAGTTAGAGAACTGATACGAAAAATTCAGCAATTTTTCCATTTGTAAAGGGGCATAATTCTAGAACGGTAAAAGTGACACCACCAAAATTCGAACTTGAACTGTGTTTTGTGGTAATTAGCATTGTGCATAAGTTTCATAACATTTGGTTGAGGCAAACTAAAGTAAGAGAACAGAAACGATATTTCAGCAACTTTTCCATTTGTAATGGGGCATAACTCTAGAATGGTAAAAGTGACACCACCAAAATTCAAACTGGATCTGTTTTTTGTGGTAATTAGCATCATGTATAAGTTTCATATCATTTGGTTGAGGCAAACTAAAGTTAGAGAATGGAAACGAAAAATTCAGCAATTTTTCCATTTTTAAAGGGGCATAACTCTAGAACAGTAAAAGTGACGCCACCAAAATTCAAACTCGATCTATGTTTTGTGGTAATAAGCATTGTGTATAAGTTTCATATCATTTGGTTGAGGCAAACTAAAGTTAGAGAACAGAAACCAATTTTGGGACGTATGGACGTACGGACGTACGGACATATGTACAGACGGACAAGGGTAAAACTTAATGCCCCTCCGCTAAGACGGGGGCATAACAACAAAACATAATGAACATTGTTTGGAAAAGTCAACATTTGTAAAGTAACTTGCTACATTATGCTGGAAACTTTGAAAAATGCATTAATTGTATCATTTGTTTTGCATAATATATTTTCCTGTTTCCTTATATTTGTTTTGTACCGTACTTTTTAATGTTTTTCACTAAAAACATATCATTGAGGTGTAATTTCTGGAATTTGCGGAGTAACGTCGGAATGCCATGCAATTGCACTACAGAAAGGCGATTATAGCCGGAAGCAGTTCATAAGTTTTTCATGTCAGCCCGCTAAGCACCATTTCCGAAAATATGGAATACATGTAAATTTAATGCTATTATTATAAGTTATTTACTCTTAAGTATATGATAAATATAGAATAGATGACTTTTTGTTTTTGATACTGACTTTATCACAGTAAAATATCAGGTGAGCCCGAAGGTACTCACAGTGATAAAGTCAGTATCAAAAACAAAAATTCCTTTATTCTTTTTATCGGTAATTATGAAAAAATAAAAATCACTGTAATAATAGAGAAAATAATAAACGAACTACTTTATCGCGTCGAATCATGTCGAATCATGTATGACATCACAGTCTGCATTACATCATTTGAAATTTTGTCACAGTGCAGTAAACATGACGTTCTCTTGCACAAAGTATTGCAAATGAATTATTGCTTTTGCGTTTCATTATTTATGCTTAGAACAAGCCTTAAACAATGCAGAATATCATGGTAACATACCGGTAAGTCAAATTTCTTTATTTTTCATATAGCATGGTATGATTATACGATTGTCATTGTTTTAGAAGTTTTAAAAAGTAAAATCTTTGACTTTATCCTTGCTTATTTATATTGGATTAATTGCTTAAAATCACATTTATCTTGTCGTTGTATGCTTAGCTTTCATCCAGAAGACTTGGTTGTTTTTAGGAAAGCACTGTGTAAGCAAACACTTTAAAAACAATATTCAGGTGTGAGCAACGAGTAGCCTGACTAAATCATTTTGAAAGCTCAATTCTTGTCGACCTCATAATTATTTCAGACATTTCAATAAATGTAACTCAACTTTGATCTATTTACTTTCGCTTTTTGTGGTTTTTTCAGTCATGTCATTTATTTTTCAACCCGGACAGAAATATGAAACGTTCAAGGCCCTGCGGTAACCTGTAATGTGTTCGCTTATTTATTCTGTGGTCTATGAATAGCTGTCTTTACATTGGCAATGAAACCACATCTCCCTAATTGTATACATGTATGATGGTCCAACAAAAAAAGTCAAAAGTGTGTATATTTTATTTGTTTTTTTTTCAGATTCTCTCATGCGATAGCGGTACCTTTTTTGTCACTGTTTATGTGTTGCGTCCAAATATAAATTGTAACACTTAATAGTGACTGCACAGGTTGAACAAATCCTTCTAAAGAAACAGAAAAGAAGACACCTTGGAACAACACATGCAGACTATTTAACATTCAGATCAGAATAGTCAGTAAGGCTATCAATGATACTGCAGAAAACACAAATATTTAAAGTTTATCTGTTTTTTCGTACACATTTTCTGTTCAAATTTTCACTCAATTTAGACAAAATCATTCAAAAAAGCTAAACTAATTTTACTGAAACAATGACAAGTGGTTCATTCACAAAAAAACTTGTGCGTTTCTGTGAAAAAAAATGTGCACGATTTTCAAAATAAAAGGGAAAGTAGATCCTTGCGAGGTGCACTCGCACATGTCAATTGATAACTGACCCAATAATTTTTTTTATCACGACCAGTCCACTGATACTGACATTATCAGCGAGTACACATCAAAGGAAAAATGTACAAATTACCAATAGAAGAGTTTATTTACTCAGTTTATACATGTTATAAGATAATTTCAGTTATATTATTTAAGAGCATCACAATACTCTGAGTCTGGAGAAAAGGTAACAAAATCTTAAATCACTTATGTAAACTTATAAGACTAATCGATATGCATGTAGGCTCTTCTGGGTAACTCATGTACTTGATACCATTTAGTTTAATCTGTATACCCCGGTACTGTAATTTATGATATTTGCCTCTGTCTTGCTTTAGTATAATAACCTTTGTATGTCTGTACATATACATTATGTAATATTTCTTGTGTGTATCTCTATAGTATACCAATGTAATTTGGTTTGTAGAGAAATAAAGATACATACAGTTGAAAGAGAGGAAAGGCATTTGCAATTGCTTATGCTGTTGACACTATTGCTAATGGCAAAATACTACCTATGTACCAGTAAGGCCAATTTCAATTCAGGTATCTGAAAAAGACTGTAGTTTATAATACACCTACCTCTGTAAGTGATGATAAAAATTCATCTTCTTCTATACCGTGTTGATTACATGCTGCACCTAACCTCATAGTCCACATCTAAAAAATTACATCACAAAATAAAAAAAATACTGACATAAAAATAAATGTCTTTCATAATAATGATACATTCTAAAGTTACAATAATAATAAACAATAAATGACACTCACTGCTTGGCATAGCAATGGACATGAAATATAATTTTACTTGATTGATGCAGAAAAATATAGTTCTTGCAATAAAGCATCCCTTATAAAATACAACCATCACCATGGGCTCCAACTTGTGTAATTAGATTTATTATTGCTTAATGTTTCAATTGTTATGTACATTTAATATACAACTTTCTGTGTATGCCAATTTTTCTTTCAACTTATAATTAACCTTGTAGAAAGTGGGAGAAGACACTAAGTGGGTAATAACAAAAAATAAGTTGAAGAAAAACAGACAAAACATTGCCCAAAATGAAACTTTAAAATGCAAGGTTTACCAGCTGGCATTTCAAAATTTGAAAATATAAATATCAAGAGTGGATAAATATATTGTAGTCAAGAGGAAAAAGAGGAAGAATTTGCTTCTCTAATGATTTACTGGAAAATGCTGAGTTAGATGTTCCTAATCGATATGGTGGGGAATGACACTGTAAGACAAATTATATCAACATGCAGTTTATCAAACTGGTCAGCAACACATTTCACAAAAAAAATTTAAGAGAAAAAGTATTTGTATGTCATCATGGTCTTGTACATTTCAGTATAACTTGCAATAATTTTTTTTGGTAAATTATTTTGTGAAAAGAGCACCAGAACCTATTTAAATGCATACAAAATTAGAGAAAAATATACAAACATTGTAAATAAAAATAAGAAGATGTGGTATGATTGCCAATGAGAAACTTTCCAATGAACAAAACCTTTATGGCATGTATTGACATAGAAATTTACAACTATAAGTCACATTCAGCCTTAGCCAATGAACAAAACCTTTAAGTAGATATAAGAAGATGTGGTATGAGTGCCAATGAGACAACTCTCCATCCAAATCCAAATTTATATAAGTAAACCATTATAGGCCAAAGAACGGTCTTCAACACAGAGCCTTGGTTCACATCGAACAGCAAGCTATAAAGGGCCCCAAAAATTACTAGTGTAAAACCATTCAAACGGGAAAACCAACGGTCTGATCTATATAAAAAATGAGAAACGAGAAACACTTAAGAACCACACACAACAAACGACAACTACTGAACATCAGATTCCTGACTGACTTTATGGCATGTATTGATACAGAAATTAACAACTATAGGTCACATTCAGCCTTAGCCAATGAACAATACCTTTATGGCATGTATTGACATAGAAATTAACAACTATAGGTCACATACAGGCTTAGCCAATGAACAAAACCTTTATGGCATGTATTTATATACGTTGACATTAATCACCTCTCGCATGTATTTTTTCTTCAATCCTGTACTGTGTGTGGAATAACGAAGTGCTCTGTGTACAGTACGTGCACCAAGTGAATATATGTGCTGTCTTCTACCATAATATTTCTGAAAATAAAAAATGGAATAAATGAAGTGAAAAATGTGTTTTCATCTGTAGCAATATTGCTGAGTGTCATATTGAAGCATAATATTTCTTAGAAGTTAAAAGAACATTTAGAGAATTGGACATGTATATGTTTGAAATGATAGCATTACAATTCAGTAGCATATTAAGACACTTAACATTACTATTGGACATAAGGGACGTTACATTGTAATTAAAGAAGTTCAAAACACTTTTACTTTTAAGCAAAGTATCAAGAAGTACTTAACACAGTCCTGATAAGATTCTGTTTTTCTACAATGTATTTGTATATTTTTATTTTTTTATTTTTTACTACATGTCTTGAACAGCTTTATATATTATCATGTTAAAAATAATACATTGAACTACTTGACTGTAAACTAATTCTGTGTAAATATCTGTTTTTGATTGTATTGTAATTTGTATGTGAGGGCCTCAGGGAAGATTAGTTTATTGTAACTAACTGTGTTTACCCTACTTTTAAAAAATAAAGAATTTATTATTATTATTATTAAAATTTAACTTGATAGCAGAATCGTAAGAGTTTTTTGTTTATTTGATTATATTTTTGTTGTGGAGCGTTTTCGTTTTATGATGATATATAAACAAGTATTTTTTTTGGTTCATAAACATGATAAATCTGTTATTTATTTCAACCAAATAAAATTGTAAAAAGATATTATACGTGTTCATATCAAGAGAAAACAAAAACAATTGACGACAAAACTATGACCAAATAAACAAATATACTTAAGACAATAGACCACTTCAAGATCGTTGCATTTTCCGTAAAAAATTTTGGTTGTAGGGAACATCATTCGTGTGTTAAGGGGCATTGTCACTTCCTTCCCATGTTGAGCAAGTGGTTGAAAAAATATGATTCTATATTGCACGAATTATTCGGCAAATTAAATTCTTATAATTGATAATCAGCACTGCTGTCATTAGGGAATTGTGATTAAGTATACTAAGGAACAAACATTATTTCTAGTTTATCCTGCATAATGACGATCAGAAAGACACCTGATGAACTTTAATAGTGCAAGGATACAGGGGTCCCCTCTATCTGGTAAATGACATCATAAAGGCGTGCATAATTGAACTTTTCTGGTGAAGGACATTACTCGAAAGTGGCCTATTCTGTGTCTTACTCTTTTTTATGAATTGAAAAATAAAAAAATGAATGGCTTCAAAATATTTTTTTGAAAAAATGTGTTTTCATATGAAATATATATATAGTTGAAGTTTATTATATGAATGTCATGTAAAATACTGTATGTTGTATCAATTATATATGTTATGTGTATATGCCCCCCTGGGGACCTAATTTGGAAAATAAAACTTATCTTATGCAAAAAAAGAAAGGTGACAAATACTTTTGGCCATGCACGGTAGCTCTCACAATATTCACCCAGTAATGCATACTGTATGTTATATAAAGCAATGTCAAGCTTTATAAAATAATAAGAAATATAGAGTACAAATAATAGACCTTATGGCTATTTTTTTAATCTTTGACCCCATATTTTGCGACAGTTGAACTATTGACTTCATACAATAATCACTTCTGCATTGTCAGTCAGGGGTACTACTTGTACAAGTAATCTTTATTTACTTGAAGAAGTAAAAAAAATTTACTTATGTAAGTTAATTATAATGTTTGAATAATCTCCCCTTTATTTTCTCAAAATTTACTTGTATAAGTAAATTTTTTTTACAATCCCACAAAAATTCTCAAGGTTTGAGATGTAAAAACATGCCTTTAATGATTTTTCCCAGGTTAGCTCATAATTTTTGATTAGAGTTCAATGTTTCATCTCATTAATTCAACAAAGAAACTGATTGCACAAAGATCTTAAGTATTGATTTGCACAAGGCCTTCAAAAATTGCCCCTTGGGGGCTTGTAAATGAGCAGTATTCTGAAGATAACAGACAAATGAGATTTTCATTGTGCATGAAATTACACTTACATGATTAGTAAAGACATCTGCAAAGGACAGACAATTGAAAATTCTATTAGAGCAAAGAAGTCCTAAGAATGCAAGAAAAGAAGATAGGATTACTTTTTTACTTATATAAGTAAAAAATTCTGAATGTCAAAGGGACATAACTAAGTAAAAAAATTATTTACCTATACAAGTAAATAAAATACACTTGTATAAGTATCCTACAAATTTACTTATATAAGTATATTAATATTACTTCTTCAAGTAAATAAAAATTACTTGTACAAGTAGTACCCCTGACTGATTGTGAGGCTAATTGTTTTAAGAAGTTCAACTACTGTATCACGAGCCTGTCAACACTGGGGTTGTGAGTTTGAGTCCCGCAGATGGTAGGTGCATTTGACTCCAATCTTAATTTACTAGGAGTGTCAGTTTTCCTAAAGACAGTCAGGGGGTCTCTACGGCTTCCCCCAGCTCAACCAATTTTTACCCAACAGTGCTGAAAGTAGTGTTAAACACCAATCAATCAATTTTTTATCTGCATTGTTATGTCCAACATTTTCTCTCATGACTTCAAAATTTACAGGAACCTCTGCAATGGCCTGCAATTGCGACCAATAACGATAGGGTGTATTTTGACATTAAGGATTAACACTTGTAAAGTTTGCTGCGGAACTGTAACTCTTGTGGTCATTATATTTTTTTGATTTTTGCGAACGATGGTCCGCAAAAATTAAAAAAAATATAATAAGAACCTAAGAGCTACGGTTCCGCAGCTATAGCCTATAGTAAAGTGAACCCCCCTTTTACTAACTCTTGAAAAAATAAACTAACCCACATCATTCTGAAATACATGCTTCTCTTCCAGTATTTATCTGGCTTTGGGCATCTCCCAACTGTTTTTCGTGTGTACATGGTGCTTGCATTTCTGAATATTGACAGAAAAACCATTTTGTCCTTGCAGGTTTATTTATGGTCTTGATCCTTCCAATAGAAAATAATTTTGTAAACCAGTCGAAGATACTGGTTACATCCTGCAATCTATTTTTCGTGTACTCAGGTAAACTTCTAACCGGCTCATGGGATCAGTTTAAAGGGGAGCTAAATCCACAAATATCACAGGAAAAGTCCCAAATATTGACAAGAGGGCAATCATTCCTCATCCGGCTTGTAGATTGTCCATTATTGCAAGTCACTTTTGTGGAAATCTGCAGACTTATAATCATAAGATGTCTGAAAAGTAAGTATTTTTCTATTATAATGTTAGTATTTATATTAAAAAGACAAACATAAGAACTTGACATTTGTTTATTTATCTCCTCTTCAGGCTCTTGCTATAGATTCAATTTAGTTCTTTATTTTACTTCCAGGTTGAATTTGAAAAAAAAAAATGCTGAAATTAACAAATGAGACTTAATAAAAAGGTTATCAATGACTTTTACAGCTTTTTAGCAAATTGGGAATAACATGACAAATCACCCAAAAAGAATATATTTTTGGAAATATATATACAGTACACACAGAGAGTTTATAATCCCAAACTCCCTACACCACGATTATTCTAGGTGTGACACCAGGAAACTCCGATATCTCTCCCTAAATTCTCGGAGAAATTTGGGAGTATTCCCTCCGACTTCCGCGTAAATCCGCTACCTTTTGTTTATTGTATTAGCGACTTCTCTCCTAGCACAGTGTCACACCGTGTCACACCAGGTAATTAAATGCCCTAATCCTTCTGATCTATGCCGACACCCTACAGTCAAGGTATGTGAAATTTCTTATGTAAATAAACAATTGTATTTCCTGTTTATCTATAATCAGGTTATATACATTTGTATCTAATTGCTTGAAACAAATAAAAGATTTAAAAGCAAAATGTTGTTAATTCTTTCAATTGCATTAAATAGTTTTATAAAACAAAATATACTTGATTTTGACCTCGTTTTTTTTTCACCGTCCGGTAAATTCATATTTTATTTACTAAAGAGATATACATGTACTAGTGTAAAAATAAACATAAACTGTAACCTCTGAATAAATGTGAGCAGTTTAAAGAAAATTACGTGTCTCAAAAATTTGTATATGCAAGTAAAAAAAGAAAATATTATTCACCATCGTTACGCTTATATAGATAAGTCGACGGCATTTCCTTTTTACGATTATCTAATTGCTTGAAAAAAATGTACATGTTCAATATTGTATAAACCAAAACAGGATAGAACTGTAGTAGTTAAACAAGATATACATCCATAGCATAGAAAGCTATATTTGTGTGTTTGTTTGCAATTATATATGTCAATTTGTTTGTGTGTAATGTATTATAATGTCGATTTTAAAAGCTCACTAGAGCTTGTGTTACTTTATTTGCAATGTATCAACAATAAATAAAACTTTGATTTGATTTGATTTGATAATGATTTGAAAATCGTAACCCCTTGTCTGCTACTTATAATAGCTAGATATGATAATGAATCTTTTTTCCGCTACCTTCAGTGTTACAATGTATGCATTGTTACAATAGGCGATTTCTGCAATGACGTCTTTCACGCCTGTATCCCTGCTCTATTAAAGTTTAAAGCACTTTCAGAATCGTCATTCTGCAGGGTAGTCTAGAAATAATTTATGTTCCGTAAGTACGTAATCTTAATTCCCATACGACTGAAGGGAGGGTGACCAACTTATTACATTTTGATTTCCCAAATATTTTGTGCAGTATAAGATCAAACTTTTTCACCCGTTCACTCAACAAGTGTTAGAAGTGATGATGCCTACATTTTGGTCACGTGGTGATGGAAGTCACATGACAGATTTAACTAACTACCGTATCCTGGAACTGGCGTATTCCACTCTTTACTTGCAATGGAGCAGCACCAGAATGATTCACTCCTGACACACTTAATGCATTAATCTGTAAAAACTTGGTAGTTTACAAACATGATAATCTATATAATATGTACATGAACTAGTTTGATGATAACAAATCAATTTTATAAGACAATTTGAAAGGAAGCAGCAGAAATCAAGAAAACATCATTTTGTAGGGAAAATTTAAAAAAACATTTGTATATAGATCAAGATTTTCTTTTGACAGAAGTGTTTAAATTATGATACTTGAATGAATTGAATTATTTTGACATGAATGTGAGAGAAAATTATTTCGGAAATTTGTTACATAAAGGTATGAAGGGCAGCATTTTACATAAGTATTTAATTAAGGTTTGCTCCATTGGAAGTACAGAGTAATGCTGTGGAACTTAGAAAAATACATTTCATTTAAAAACTTTTCTAACTATTGAATATAACAAATACTGGAGACCGTGGTTCTCCATTATAGACTTAATAATAAATGGTTGGTTTTTTTTCTTTTCATTTTTTCTCTTAATAATATTTTATCTAAATCGCCATAATCTTTGGCTATTGGAATACTATTTATGTTTTACCTGATATCATACAATAGTATATTCCATTGTTGTTTTAATTTAAAATTTCCTTGTTGTGAATATGTCATTATGTATATCTTTGTTCATATATATATGTTGTGCCAGGCTATTTGTCAAGCAAATTCATTATAAAAACTATTTAATTAAATGTTAGTTACAACTAAGGTTTGCTCCATTACGAGTAATCGGGATGCAATAGTAACCCTGATGGTACTCAAGGGGAGAGTAACTGACACAGAGTTACTTCATCCTATCTAAGATAACATTGTGTACAATACAAACTTAGCTTAAGGAGTACTCTATTAATGCAGTTTAATTGAGTTAATAAAGGATGGATCTAGGTCACTGCTACACTTCTCTCTTTCTCAAGTTATTTTACCATAATGATATTTACAAAAAATTGCAATCCATAGGCGGATCCAGGGGGGCCCCACCCTTTGGTGGGAAAAATTTGGTTGATTATATAGGGAATCACTGAAGCATGACTGGAGCGGGCCCCCCCTTAGGTCAGTCAGCAGCCCCCTCCTTATTAAAAGTTCTGGATCCGCCACTGCAACCTAAAACCTTCTTAGTGGATTTTTCAGTTTGAGTACTGTGAATTCATTATTATTCGTGGGCTGCCAATTTTAGTTGATTTCATTGGTATAGGTGAACCACAAATTTCAATGTTCGACGAATTACAAAATTTCATATACTTGTATTCAGACTTTGGTAATACCATGAAATCAAATATCCACGAAAATATAATTTTTACTCAATCCACGAAAATTGGTACCCACGAAAATAAATGAATCCACAGTATCCAACAAAAAATTGCAAGCTAAAACATTTCCAGTTACATGATTTTCCTCAGATAAAAATTTCACTGTATCGGGTGGTGCTTTACCTCTGAATTTAATGGAGGCTGTAGGAGAGTTAATTAAAATCCACTAGGTGACTAAGTACATAAGGTTTCCTTACCAATATTTTCATTGCAGTGTAACAAAATAGTAACTTTTAATACAGGAATCATTAAGTGTCAATATTTTCAGGCAAATGTCCTTTAAGGAACAGTTACATTCACAAGTGTTCCATGTAAAGAAAGTATGCCCTTTGCACGTTAAGAACCCTTGCAACAACTCTCTTTGAGGGGTCCGTAGGTGACCTGTTGCAAGGCTAAATTTCTGTCCATATCCTATATACCCTCATTTCCTGTGGCAGTCTAAATTTCTCCGACCTTAATCCCGGACGCCTTTATTACAGAATCTACCTATTGTATTTATTGTTAATTTGTTCTCGTCCTGAATATGGATGAAATATTTGCCACTGGACATTAAGCAACCACCAATCAATCAATCACAAGTGTTCCATATTTCCAGCCTTTAGTTAAAGGTTTAAATTTTATAAAAACATGCTTCTAGATGGTATTGTTTTATATTTTATTATCAGCAAATTGTGCATGTTGTGAGACTGAAATGAGGGACAAGGATTATAACCCAGCAATTAATATGCAAGTCAAAATGTAATTGATAAACAATGTGACTGAAAAAAATCTGTGAAAGAGAATATTCTTTTTCATGACTATACAGATATACATAACTACTTTTTATACGACCGCAAAAAAATTTTTGTGGTCGTATATTGGTATGACGTTGGCGTCGTCGTCGTCGTCGTCGTCGTCCGGCGTCGTCTGGCGTCGTCCGAAGACACATTGGTTTTCGCACTCTAACTTTAGTTTAAGTGAATGGATCTTTATGAAATTTTACCACAAGGTTCAATACCACAAAAGGAAGGTTGGGATTGATTTTGGGGGTTATGGTAATAACAGTAAAGGAATTAGGGGCCAAAAAGGGGCCAAAAATAAGCATTTTTGTAACTTCCAGACATAACTTGTGTGTTAGTGTATGGATCTCTCTGACATTGTACCACAAGGTTCCATATCACTAAAGGAATGCTGGGATTGATTTTGGGGGTAATTGCCTCCAAATTTTAGGAATTAGGGGCCAAAAAAGGGGCAAAAAACAAGCATTTTTCTAGTTTCATGACAATAACTTGTGTGTAAGTGTATGGATCTTTCTGAAATTGTACTACAAGGTTCCATATCACAAAGGGAAAGCTGGGTTTGAGTTTGGGGGTAATTGCCCTAAACGTTTAGGAATTTGGGGCCAAAAAGGGGCCAAAAAACACATTTTTTTCTAGTTTCCAGACAATAACTTGTGTTCAAGTGTATGGATCTCTCTGAAATTGTACTGCAAGGTACCATACCACAAAGGGAAGGCTGGGATTGAGTTTGGGGGTGATGAATCATAATGGGGGTTCAAAAAATTTTGGGGGGGGATTTATTTTTTTTTCCTTTTTTTTCTTTTTTTCCTTTTTTTTCTTTTTTTCCTTTTTTGTTTCTTTTAAAATTTTCCATTTTAAGTTGGTTATTTCTGATTTATATTTAAAATCAAATAATAATGATATGGTAGGAGATACACACCAAACAGGATGTGTAAATTATTATATAATAAGTATTGTGCAATAGCAAGAAATTTTCAATTGCACAGTATTGCACAATAGCAAGAAATCTTCAATTGCACAGTATTGCGCAATAGCAAGAAATCTTCAATTGCACAGTATTGCGCAATAGCAAGAAATATCCAATAGCACAATATTGCGCAATAGCAAGAAATTGTCAATTGTACAGTATTGCGCAATAGCAAGAAATATTTAATAGCACAGGATTGTGCAAAAGAAGATACTTCCTATAAATTGCTTATTTCTTGACCAATTTCAATGGGGTTTTATTCTTGATTTCATGGGGTTCTTTAATATGCTG